AAGCTTGCCGTCGCCGTCAGCCTTGCAGATCCAGGATCTGAAGACAAAGGTCGATCCTGCCGAAAAGGTCATCTTGAGGTTGAGGTCCGCGGAACTCTCGAGAAAAAATTCGTCGAAAGCCCCTACCTGGCGCGCCAGCTGTCGATGTTTTACCACCGATAGCCTGCCACGGGGGTACCCAGGACAGTTGTTCGGGCTTCGGCGAATAGCGGAATTCGGCGGTTACGTAAAGAGACTCACGATTTATACTGGTTCAGGCCCTCGACTTGGTCGAGTAATAACCTTACGTCCAGTTTTGGCGTTAGCCTGTTTGCGTTGTATTGCTTTGAGTATCGGGTGTGCCTTCTCCTCACAATGGGTACCCTCACCAGCCCTTTATAGTCCAGGCGCTGAGAGGCGTTGTTTGTGTCCTATTCGGATACAAGGTCAGAGTCCTAAGCTATGCTTCGGGCGCCTTTCCTTGTATAGTTTGCGTTGGAGTTTCGGTTTTGCACGTTGCTTTGCTTCGTGTTCTTCTTGGCGATTGGGCTGTAGGCCTTGTTACCAAGGTCTACCTCCCTGCAGTATGGTCCATGGGGGGCCCGTAGGGTTCCCCATCGATAGGCATGCATCGCATGACCGGACGTCGGGGTCCAGCGTCCGATCATCCCGTGTTGTGCCCAGTGAAGGGGTACAACAGCTCTATTTCGTGGGGGCTTCTATTTAAGCCCCATGGCCGGCTCAAGCTCACCCTCTTGGCCATTTGCATTAACATAGCAACCTTGTGAGCTTAGCCAAAGCCCTCCCACTCATCTCCATCATTGATTCATCATCTTTGTGAGATTGAGAGAGAATCCAAGTGCATTGCTTGAGTGTTTGCATCTAGAGGCACTTGGTATTCGTATTTCGCTGTGGGATTCGCTTGTTACTCTTGGTGGTTGCTGCCACCTAGATGGCTTGGAGCAGCGAGGATCGTCGAGCGGAGGGTGGTGATTGTCTCCAGCTCCGATCGTGGTGATTGTGAGGGGTTCTTGACCTTTCCCGGGCGGAGAGCCAAAAGGTACTCTAGTGGATTGCTCGTGGCTTGTGTGATCCTCATCTTGTGTTGGTTGTGTGGCACCCTATCGAGGGTTTGGCGTGTGATGCCAATTAGCGCGTGAACCTCCAAGTGAGTGAATCGCCACAACGAGGAGTAGCTTGCTGGCAAGCAAGTCAAGCTCGGTAAAAATTATTGTGTCATCATTTGATTCCGAGGTGATTGGTCTTCAACGTTATTCATTCTTGTGATTGATTGGCACCTTTCTCGACACGGCAGTATAACCCTCTTGATCACTCTCTTTACATTACCGCAAACTAGTTGTCAAGCTCTTTAGTGTAGCTAGTTGTGAGAGCTTGTTAGTTTGGTTGGTGTGTCTCTTTAGTTAGCTTTTGAGAGCACACTAACTTAGTGTAGTGTCATAGCTATTGTGTGGATAGATACTATCTAAACTAGAATTGCGGTAGGTGGCTTGTTTTTTAGTAGGCTAGCGCAATACTTGCTTCGCCACATAATTGTCTAACTGGTTTGTTAAGTGTTGTTGTAGAAATTTTTTAATAGGCTATTCACCCTCCTCTAGCCATTAGGACCTTTCACCAGTGAACCTTCACATCCTCAAGTCCATAATCTAGTAGCATGATCATCTCTTTAATTGCAAAAAAACACCAGTACTCCTCTTTGATATGGTCAAACCAATCTACCTTCTCATCTAGATAAACACGATTTTTACCTTGCCCACAGAAAAATCCCCATGATGTACTTCCACTGAGAACTCTTGATCGTCAGGCCCTAAACAATCAGTAATAAACCTAGTTTTCAGAACTATGCCTTACCAATCCAGTGAAAATCAATTCTTTACATCAAGTCCAAGTACTATGACACTAGATTGAAGTAGCACAAACTACATTCATGAAACGGATAGGGCTCGAGGACACTTACCATAATCAGGTGCTGCCTCCCCTTGCAGTCAACGTCGACCGGCCATGGTGCCGCCGCGCCGCACTAGATACGGCAGGGTGGAACCCAGGCGGACCTGAATCCAGTCAATGCGGCGCCAGTGGGAGACGATGGACCTCCAGCCTAATGCGGCGACTGAGCTTGGGGGAGGCGGCGGCGGCTTGACGCTTGCACAGAGAGATATTGGGGAGAGACCACGGACGAGAGAGAGAGAGAGTGAACCGACCGGGAGGGGGTTATTGTGAAATGTGCAGCGGCTCGGCGTCCATCGTCCACAGTGGCAGCTCCATGTCGGATGCAGGCGCATCTGTGGCCATCTTTGGACTGTTGATGCCAGGGAAAGATAGATCCAGGACCTAGATGCTACGATTTTTAGTTAGAGGACCCAGAAGGGAACCACCCAAAAGTTTAAGGACTTGCGGTGCAATTTACTCATTGAAATTTCTCGCTCAACCCATGCTTTTCTTTGTTTCTTTTATGATTCCTCTTCACCCGTGCGTCCTTGCCCGGAGACGGAGCTTGGGGCCTTTCTTTGCTCAACTCGTGTATTGTATTTTGTATACAACGGCCAGATGTACCATGACACCAATATACCATTCCTAGGAGTCATATGACTGGTCCGTACTTACTATAGCAATCATCTCATGCAGCGTCGCTCCGAAAGCAACGCGCAGTCCCAGGGCATGCAGTGCAGGCAACGGTTTGTTCTTTTGGGAGTCCAGGAGAGGAGGTACACGCAGCGGCACCGGCACGACCTCGCATGTCCATTTTTGGAATATGTTTAGATGAAACCTTAGGTCAAGTTGTATGTGTGTTCGATAAGTAGATTGATATGCATGTTGCTTCATGAATAGTGTGGTGTGCATTGTTAAACACATTGCACAATTCTCTCTCAAATAACAATGCCATAATGGCTAATCGGGAAATATATATAGGGATACTTTTGGGTATTGTTTTCATATTGATGGAGATAGGCAATTAATATACGAATTAGGGTTTGCTTCAGATTATTTTCAATTATGACGAAGATAAGCAATTTATGTACAATTTAGAGGGTTCCTTTATGTTATGTTTTATATGGACATAGGTGGTTAATTAAATTTAGGACCTTTTTGGAACACAGGAATATGAACAATATAGAAGTGAAGTTGCGTATCACTTGCAATCCCATAGGAATTAAAAACACAACAAATTCTCTAATAGAGCATTTGGATACACCACATGAGGAATTAGAAGAGAGAAATAGACGCAAAAGAAAGTTTCCAAGAGGTTGGACATCATGTTCGATTTCCTCTAAAATTCCTATGTTATATTTCGTCCAAAATTCCTATGGATTGAGCCGTTCCATAGAAATTTTGTAGGATTTCAGGATGACCAATCCTTTATTCCAAAGGGCCACGTAGGAAAAACTCATATATGTTTATAATCCTGCAAAATTTCTTCATGAATCCTTTGTGTTCCAAAGGGAGCCTAGAGTTATCTTAAAACATTTTCACAATGGGTATGAATGTTATTAACCTTTATTATCAACGATTATTAGAATTTACAAATCTACTGGCAAGATGTTTATGATCTTTTTAAGAGCTTGTATAATTTCTCTCTTTTCGTTCTCCTAACTTGTATTATGAGAGAAAACATGAAGGCTCAAAAAAATAGTGAAATAGTGATAGTACGATCGATGCGGCACCTAATCGATGAACCAAGTAATCAACCACCTCATGATCATAGCATAACATAACAATAATAATAGTTGATGGCCACTATAGTTTCTTTCTTTACTCACCTCGTGTACATATACATGTACCAACATTCAAATGAGCATGTTCGGCTGGTATTAAAACCGACTGAAGCTATTTTTGTTATGAGAGAAAAATACTATAGATTTTAGCTGATAAGTCGATAAACGAACAGGGTTGGGAGTAACCTGTACAGTACGTATAGTAATCATCACAGGCAACCAGACGCGCCGTCCCAGGGCACAGGAGGGCGCGCAGTGCAGCTGTGCAGGCAACGGTTGTTCTGGGAGGGCAGGAGCGGAGGTACAAGCAGCGGCACGACCTCGCACGCACGCCCATTTTTGGCTGTGCCCACTGCCCATCCATGGCCACGGCGCGTCACATGCGCCCGCTGCCGCTGCGGCCTGCCCCTGCCCAGCTGCAGCACGAGCCAAGCCATGGATGGCACAAGTTCACACACTCCACACCGTCTCTCTCCTCCATCTGAAAACTGCAACGCAGACACAAAAGCAGGCGCCAGCAGAAAAGCTGTGCACAGCACAGCAGGAAAAGTTCCCCTCCCTCCCTGTGTGTGTGAAGACAGAGACAGAGACAGAGAGAGAGAGAGAGAGAGAGAGAGGGGGGGGGCGCGGTGGCACTGTTATTTGTTTCTTCTTTTTTCTTCACGTCCACCGTCTCTTCACAAGTTCACATCGCAATCTCTTTTTCCCTCTGGCTGGCCTCTGCCGTCGCCTTTCCGGTGGGTGCAAAAGATTTTGTTGGCCTTGGGAAGCGCGGAGCGCGTTTTCCTCCCTCCGTTCCGGTGGGGTAGTTGGCAAATGGCAACGGAAAAGCCTAACTCCAATCCCATTGCTGCTGGAAAGCACAAAGCAGCGGTAGTAAAAGAGGATGACAGCCATGGCGACAGAGTGGCCGCCGACGCTCCTTTCCGTGTAGGACTGCAGATTCCTTGGCGCTCCTCCTGCTCCCAGCGAGGAAAAGAGAGCACGAACTAAACTAGGAGGAAGCAGCCCCCGGGCATTCCTTTCTGCCGAATTGTAGTGGTTGTTGCTTTCCTGTTCAGGTGCCTTGTTCTTGGCCTCCTTCGCACGCAAAGAACCGCCGGTCGTCTTGCTCTCCGGCCTCACCCACTGCGCTGCTGCTCCTGGAAGGCTTCTTCTCGGCCGCCTCTGCCTGCTTTGCGGTTTCTTGCTCTGCTTTTGAGTAGAGTCGCTGCGGAGTGGACAGTGTGGAGTGGGAAGGCTTGGTTTCTTCGGAGAAGAGAAGGGAAAGGGAAGGCGAAGAGGAGGAGGATGGCCGGAGGAGGGGCGGCGCCGCCGCCGAAGCAGGAGGAGCTGCAGCCGCACCAGGTGAAGGACCAGCTGCACAGCGTGTCCTACTGCATCACAAGCCCACCGCCCTGGCGTACGTCTCTTTCTCACTCACTCGCTCACTCACCTGGGACTGGGACTGGGACCGGGACCTTTCGATTTCAATGTTGGACTGCAACTGTTCTGTGTACTACTGATATTGATGTTGTTGATACCGGTAGTGGTCCTGATTTTGACTTGGTGCCTGTCACCTGACCTATATAATCTGAAACATGCAGCTGAGGCCGTCATCCTTGGATTCCAGCACTACATTGTGATGCTGGGCACGTCTGTCATCATACCAAGTGCTCTTGTTCCCCAGATGGGAGGAGGAAACGTGAGTAAACCAATCACCTCTCCATGTTCTGAATTCCAAGATTTGGCAGCCAGCTAGTTTGTGAATTGTGATGTCAAAAAGGCTCAAACTATCTATTGCTGTACGTGCCTCCTTTCTGACTGCTGCTAGGAGGAGAAGGCCCGGGTGATTCAGACGCTGCTGTTTGTTGCTGGCATCAACACCCTGTGCCAGTCATTCTTTGGGACTCGCCTCCCTGCAGTGATGGGTGGATCCTACACCATCGTCGCACCCACCATCTCCATCATCATGGCTGGCCGTTACAGCAATGAAGCAGACCCTCATGAGGTAGTTCGAGTTCCTGGGTAACTTGTCGCCATTGTCACAGCCTCTTGTGGCTCTGTTTGAGTTCTTGGTACAGTACAGTTCACAAGGCGTTGTGCACTCTTGTGCAGAAATTCTTGCGGACCATGCGAGGAACACAAGGCGCTCTCATCATTGCATCGACAATTCAGATCATACTTGGTTTTAGTGGTCTTTGGCGCAATGTCGTTAAGTAGGGATCTTGGCTCTAACTTTCACCTTCTGCTTAAACATGGTACTTTTGTAGAATTTCAGTTTGTGCATTTACAGAGTTCTCACCTCTTTCACAGATTGCTAAGCCCATTGTCTGCTGTACCTCTGGTCTCGCTAGCTGGATTTGGGCTATATGAGCTTGGTTTTCCAGGGGTAAGCGTTATCATGCTACTATTTCGGTATTCTGATGTGGTTGTCACATTGTTTCTTTTTAATTGTTCCTGTTCTCACTGACTCTAAGATCCATTTGGCTTCAGGTTGCTAAGTGTGTAGAAATTGGGCTTCCAGAAATCATTCTAATGCTCATATTTTCTCAGGTATAGAGTCCATTGTTATAGCTCTCCATGCACCTCATACACATTACAGCTGAACTCATGTACTAATGTATTTGTCTTGTGTGCAGTATTTACCTCATGCTGTCCATGCCGCAAAACCTGTGTTCGACCGGTTTTCTGTGATTTTCACAATTGCAATTGTATGGCTGTATGCATACATTCTCACGGTTAGCGGTGCATACAAGAATGCTCGAACAAAGACACAAGTCCATTGCCGTGTTGACCGCTCTGGACTTATTGGTGGAGCTCCTTGGTAAGGAGTTCGTCACAACTGCATTACCTTTTGCTTTTGATCCTTGTTTTGTAAAAATTTAGTTACAGAATAGAGGTGCCCCCTTCAGTTCTTGGTTGTGGCTGTCTAACATTTTTTTGTACCTCCATTCTGACTGTACCAACAATAATTATTTTTGTAGGATTAGGGTCCCATACCCTTTCCAATGGGGGGCCCCAACATTTGATGCTGGTGAATCATTTGCAATGATGGTGGCCGCATTTGTTGCTCTTGTAGAGGTTTGCCTATGTAGCTTTACCCAAAATTGAAAAAATAAGTGTGTCATGATTACTAGTGTTCTAATAAGCAGTGTGCTACCCTTTCAGTCATCTGGGACCTTCATTGCTGTGTCAAGATATGCAAGCGCGACCATGATACCTCCTTCAGTTCTTGGTCGTGGCATTGGTTGGCAGGTAACTGACTTGATTTTCGTCAACCAGAAACATCATTTTGTTACTTCTTTTCATGGCCATAACCTGGTCTCATCGTTTGAAATTCTGCAGGGTATCGGTACTTTACTGGGTGCATTTTTTGGGACAGCTAATGGAACTGCAGTGTCAGTGTAAGTGTAATGTAGCAATCTAGCGAAACCAGGACTGATTGCTTGGGGTACTGCTTATCTCTAATCATATGTTTTGATATTTGCAGTGAAAATGCCGGTTTACTTGCTTTGACACATGTTGGCAGCCGGAGAGTAGTCCAGATATCTGCAGGCTTCATGATTTTCTTCTCTATCCTTGGTAATGTATTCTGACTTTGGGTATATTTTCAATGTTGAACAAAAAAGGAACCACTAGTAAGGCACAGACTGACGCTCCTCACAGTACCTGCTCTGTTCCTGAATTTGAGTATCATGGGTGACTGGCTGTAAATTTGTAATTTGACTGTCAACACTAGTTATAGGTTTGGTTTAGTGTTTAACATGATTTGGATAATGTTGATCATGCCTTTTTAATTTTATGGGATCTGCAATTTTTAGCCTAACCCTATCCATTTTGCTAAACCAGGGAAATTCGGGGCGATCTTTGCTTCAATCCCACTGCCCATATTCGCTGCCCTGTATTGCATTTTCTTTGCATACATTGGTACGTCCTCTTGATATCTCATCTTTCAGCGGACGGAGTCCTCTGGTCACCTGAGTCTCCAATGTATGGATTTCTTGGGCCTGCAGGTGCTTGTGGTCTGAGCTTCCTTCAGTTCTGCAACCTGAACAGCTTCAGGACCAAGTTCATCATGGGGTTCTCCTTGTTCATGGGCCTGTCAGTCCCCCAATATTTCAACGAGTACACGTCCGTGGCGGGCTACGGCCCGGTGCACACCGGCGCCCGATGGGTACGTGAATTGGAGCTAGCTCTGCTTGTCATTCCTCTCCATATTGCAGCTGACACCCGTAACGGTTTTTCACTCACCATTGACTTTTGGATGCCCCCGGCAGTTCAACGACATGATCAACGTGCCCTTCTCGTCGAAGCCGTTCGTGGCGGTGTTGGTGGCCTTCTTCCTGGACAACACGATCCAGGTGCGCGACAGCGGCGTGAGGAGGGACAGGGGCTACCACTGGTGGGACAAGTTCCGGAGCTTCAAGACGGACAGCCGGAGCGAGGAGTTCTACTCGCTGCCCTTCAACCTCAACAAGTTTTTCCCTTCGGTCTGATCCAGCAGGGGCTGCACACCTCTTCCTCGCGGTCGCAGTAGCTTGGACTCACTGGAGTCAGAGAAGAAATGATCCCGTGCAAGTGATGCTGGAGCTGGACTGATGGCATTTTGTACATTCAGGGGTGAACTCTGAACTGGGCAGGTTGCAGACTTGCAGTCCAGGGGGGAGCTCCGAGTTTGACACATGCATGTTCTGGTAATCTTGGTCTATTGTGTTGAGTGCCATGGATAGATCCTTTTGCCTTGGCGAGAAAAATGTTGCTCTGGGTAGCATCAGTATTCCCGTGTTAGCGAAAGTGCTCGCTTTGGCCACAAAAAGGATCCTGTCAATCAAACTTGTATAAACAATAGCGTAGCGTCGTAGGGTCTCTAAGTGCTACTGTTTGTCGTGGAACATGGAATTCGATCATACGGACAGATTTACCTTGAAGTAAATCCTTTTGTTTTGGTTGGAAGAATTTATCTTGGAGTCTTTCATCATGATGTAAAAGGCCGACAAGCAGGCCCGGTCACCGCACCAGGCCAACGGCAGAATGCAGCCCATTAGACGCAAGGTCGCAACGAACGCGGTGGCCAGTCTGGCAAATTGCATCGTCTTTGCGGTGACTGGCCCACACAAGATTTTATTTATATTTAGTAGTAGTAGCACTAAACTTTGCTCAGAAAAAAAAGTAGTAGTAGTAGCACTAAACATATGGACCGACCGCCGACGTCATCTATACAATATACAAAAAAACATGTGGGCGTGCAAGAAGATTCTTGGATGACTGACTGTCGAGTGAAGGCTTCGGTTTGCCTTGTGCTGCCTGCTAGGTTGTTTTTTTTTCCAGCCGAGAAATCTTCCCATTCCCATTACTTTCATAACGGAAATACAGAGTTTGGAAGAGAACGGACAGCAACAAAGGAGTTTAAGGACCGCGCTTTAAACTGAGCACCCAGGATGCCTGAAACTCTGGCTCAGAGTCAGGACATCTGCTCACAGACCCTAAGGAAAAGTTCAGACAAAATGTAACGCTAGCATTACAGACTACGGGCAAAACATGCCAGCTATAGAAACGATAACAGTAACATGTTGCTGCATCCTCTGACCACCAAGGTACTCTGCTTCACAACCACGGGCGCGACGACTTGCTGTTGGCAGACCATTCAACCTGATGCATTGTCTTGATCATCCTCCCCATCTTGAAGTTGCCCTGCTGCTTCCGCCTCCTCCCTCTGACGCTTCAGGATCCCTTTCGCCACCCTCAGCATCGTATTGATTCCCTCGACGAGCTGTTCCTTGTCTGATTCGGCGTACAAGCCTGCCCGATACTTCATCAGTGCATAAATATGACAGAAAATATCTAGGGGACTTTTGATCACAACTTTGTCAAAACAAGCTCTATTTCTCGCCTTCCATATGGCCCAACAAATAGCCGATATACCAAATGCATGATAGTTTTTTTTCCAAAGGGTAACCATTTCTCAACCCACCGCCAACATTGATCTAAATTTCTGGGAATAGTATCAGCTCCAAAGCATTTAGCCACTACAGCCCATATGGTCTTGGTCACATGGCACTGAAAAAATAGATGCGAAATACTTTCATGCATATCACAGAAGTAACAAGTAGGGTCTCCCTTCCATTTTCTTTTAAGAAGATTATCTTTGGTAAGTATTGCATCATTACTCATTAACCACATAAATTTTTTGATCTTTGTAGGAATCTTGCCCTTCCAAATCATTCTATGATATCTACCAGCATCATTTCTTGTCAGAGCATTGTAAGTAGATTTGACAGAAAAAATGTTGTTCTTTTCCAGAGACCACACTATCCTTATCAGGAGTACTTTCAAGAGGAAAGTTTAGCACATCCCTCCAAATTTGTTCCCAGCTGGCTCTTAAGTCTGCTGGTAACCATCTTTTAAAAGTTATTGGTATACCATCACTCCTAGCATTCTTAACTGTTATATCTTTACATTCACAAAGCTAAAAAAGAACCGGTGCCACTAAGTATAAAGGTTCCTGATATACCCAAGCGTATTTCCAAAATCTAGTATGACACCCATCTTTTGTACATATGCTTCGTCCAAACAAGTAGTGATACTTGACTTTGAGTAAGTCATACCAAACCGGTGAGTCAGTCAATTTGTGGGACACAGAGTGAATGGAGTTATTTCTTAAATATTTGTACCTGACAATGTCTTGCCATAAGCCTTTCTCTCTTTCCAATCTCCACCACCATTTACACAATAAGCTAATGTTCATTTTTCTCAAATTTTGGATACCTAATCCTCCTTTCTTCTTACTCCTACAAACTTTTTCCCATTTGAGCAGATGATATTTCTTCTTTGTTCCCCCTCCTTGCCAGAAAAAGGATCTCCTGATCTTGTCTAACTTGCTCACCGTGGTTTTAGGTAACAGATAAATGGACATATGGTATATAGGAGAATTATTAAGACTGGCCCCAATCAATGTCGACCTTCCAGCTATGGACATACAATTTCCTTTCCAAACATCTAACCTTTTATTGCTTTTATCAATATAAGGGGCAACCAATAAATTACATGCAATCTACTTGGGCTTACTAGGACACCCAGGTGATAGGGAAGAGTCCAATCTGTTGGATATATTATGGGCTTGGCCCGTATAATATTTAATAAATCAAATAAAACTCTATGGTACGTAACATTAAGCGTTGTATGGTTTAATACCGTATGAGATTTTGACTGAACGTTTACTCAGCTTATTTGGTTGTAAATTATCCATCTTAATTGAGAAGCCGTGGCCGTGGCCGTGAGCCGTGAGGCCTGAGGCGGGCAGGCAGGCGGGCGGCGAGCGAGCGGGCAGGCGTAGCTAGGTTTTGCCACTTAGTCCACATAATTATGGGAGTTTCTCTCCTTGATGATGGAGGCGATTTGATTGCGCCAGTTACCGTCTCTCCGTGTCTCCGACTCCTGAATTCCGCCGCTGGCTCTTTCCCTCCCTCCGCTGGGCATAAAACAGAAAGTCCTTCGTCAGTCTTCTCCCCCTTCCTTCGCTTCCGAGAGACCAGGTCTTAGCCACCCTTGGCTTTCCCCGTCCCGTACCTCTGCGTGCACGGAGTGGCGGGAGAGCAGTTGCCTCCGGAACCCTCGTCCGCCTGCGAACCCTGCACGGGGTGTGCGGCGATTAGGTTTTTGGGGAGCGATTCCGCGACTGCTCGTCCGACGTCTTCTTCCTGGTGATCGCTCGCAGAACCCGTCTTCTTCCTGGTGACTGTTCGTGGGACTGTACTGTGAACATCTTCCTGCATCAACTGTGGTTTGAGCAACGCACTATATCTGGTGCGAATGGAGCCTCCGATGCCCTTGACATGAGAACCTCCGCTGGGTACACTCTTATCTCTGTGATTACAGTACTTTGCTTACTTACTGTATCGATCAGTATATCATATTTGCATGCTGTAGCGTTTGTTAGAGATATACACATGCACATATATGTCGTCACGAACCTGCTGATGTTTTATTTCTGGATTAAATTGACCATAAAAATGCCTAATTATCTAACAATCCAAAAATCTAATGTTAGGCAATTTTCTGTCAGTGTTTTTGCTGCTGCTTTGAAGCCAAATAATTTTGATGGCAAGAATTTCATGATATGGCGTGCCAAGATGGTATTGTGGTTGACTGCTATGAACTGCTATCACGCCGCACAGGGGAAGCCTGAACAATTTCCTCCTAAGGAGGAGCAAAAGTTCTTGGCTGCCGATAACCTGTTTCGAGGCGCCGTGATTAGTGCACTTCATAGTAAGTATGAGAAAAACTACATATCTTGCACATTAGGCAAAGATTTATGTGATGCTCTTGAGGCAAAGTTTAGAGTTTCTGATGCTGGTAGTGAGCTGTACCTTATGGAGCAGCTATATGACTATAAAATGGTTAAAAATTGTTCTGTAGTGGAACAGACCCATGAGATACAGGCGCTAGCAAAGAAACTAGAACATTTTCCATGTCTGTTACCCGATAAGTTTGTGGCCGGCGGTATAATCGCTAAGCTGCCACCTTCTTGGAGGGATTTTACTACTTCTCTAAAACACAAGAGACAAGAGTTTAGCGTGGCTAAGCTTATTGGATCTCTTGATGTTGAGAAGAGGGCGAGAGCAAAAGACAACCGTGGAAAAGGAGTTGAGTCTTTTCGCTGCCAATATGGTGCAGAAGAAAAACTCATTTGCATTCCGTAATAAAAAGAAGAAGAACATGCAAGAGAACAACAATACAAAGCCTAAGCAAACTGCTCAGTTTAAGAAGAAAAAAAACAAGAAAGGTGGAGGTTGCTTTGTTTGCGGGAGTGATGAGCATTAGGCAAGTGTGTGCCCAAATCGCAAATATAAGCAAGAAAAGAAATCAGCAAACGTGGTGATTAGCGAGATTGGAGGAGGAACATCTGGGTATGGTAATTCTTTACCTTTTGTTCTTTCAGTTTGTCTTTCACCTGAGTGGTGGATGGATAGCGATGCTAATATTTATGTGTGTGCTGATGTTTCTTTGTTTACTTCTTATCAGGCCGGCAGGACTGGAGCCTTGCTGATGGGAAACGGTTCGCATGCGCGTGTTCTTGGTGCTAGTACGGTTGTTCTGAAGTTTACTTCGGGAAAGACGGTGCTATTAAAGAACGTGCAGCATGTCCCCTCCATCAAAAAGAATCTTGTTAGCGGTTCTCAAATGTGTCGCGATGGCTTTAAAATTGTGCTTGAGTCCAATAAGTGTGTTGTGTCGAGACATAGAACATTTGTTGAAAAATGTTATGATTGCGGAGGATAAATGTCATTAAGTATCATTTACTGTCTTTGGTCAATTCGCCATTCATTTCGCATAAATTAGAATGAACGAGTTCTAATGGTGCCAAGTTTCTCGCCTCAACGGCCTTGTGAGGCTTGCGCGGTTGCTTTGATTGCACACACACCTAGCACTTAGAATCTTTGACTAAGTTAAATTTTAGGATTAAATTCAGATTTGCAAGCCGCGTGAGACAGCCAAA